TTTGCATGATGAATTGGAGCAATTGGAGTGAAATGGTGCCCCAGGGGAGATGGACTCATTCCAATGTGTTGCATTGTCAGACCACTTCCAACTAAAACCACCTGTAGAATTGAAGCCTCTTCCTCCAACCCAGCAGCCTCTTGCTGTATTAGTGTAGAGTTTTCCAGCAAAACTTAGTTCCTTGGCTGATGTCAGTGCTGCCAAGTGCCCAATATAATCCCTACATCGGGACTCTGATTCATCCCCATGACTAGAGTTTTCTATCAGCCCAAAACACTTGCTCTTATTTGGACTGATTACCGGCAGGGCGGAGAGCACCTCGAATTGGCAACGATATTCCTTAACAGTAGAAGACCGATGTAACGAGAAGAGCTGCTCCCGTAAATTACCCTCCTGAGTCGATCGAAAACGTTCAAGGAGAAGCTCTTTGAATTCTGTCCAACCACGAAAAGGTCGCCGACCAACTTCCCGGTAATACCACGCCAATGCATCGCCGTCTAGACAGACAACTGCAGCTCGCAGACGCTCTGTCGGAAGCAATCCATTAATCTCAAAATAGCGCTCCGCACGAAAAAGCCAATCGTATGGATTTTCCCCATCAAAAATAGGTAACTCCAACTTCCGAGGAAGTGAATCAGGAGTTTGTTTTGGCACCGGCATCGAGGAAGACGTCGGAAATGCCGCACTCTTCCCTTTGTCAGCCACACGACTCGATGCGACTAAAGGAGGAGCAATGTCAGTCRTGGACAAAGGAGCTGAATAGGCCTGTTGCTGAAGCAACAGATCAAAACGTCTCACCAGATCTTGAACGCYTCCTTCCAGAGATTGTACCGAGCTTTCCAGAGACGAGATCTTCAAAAGTCCAGCTGCTACCTTTTCTGGATCGAGTCATTGAATCTCATTGCGTAAGCCATCCATCTCCACACGAAATTCAGAATGCAGAGAAGTCAAGCGTTCTTCGAAACCCTCCACCTGCGATGCCACTTCCTTAACTGTCACCATGGCCGAGGAAAGACGAGCTCTAATACCACTGATATGACCCAGAAATTTGACATGCAGTTCACAGACTTACAACAACGTTCACACACTTGAAGATCAACAAAAGAAACTAGTATTCATTCAGCAGAAAACATTAATAGTTGGTCGGTTCTTCGAGAGACCGCCAGCTCTCCCAAACACTCACAATATTCTTTACTCAAAGAAAAACATACCACCCCCATCCCCCAAAGCCTTTTCTTATTACCCTTCTGATAGCATAGCTGACTCCCTCTACAAATGCCCAGCTGGCCTAGTTATAAATGCCCAAAAACTCTTCTTTTTTCATATCTGACATAGCTATAAATGCCCCAAGACTCTTCCTATTCCCTTCTGACCTCCTCCATAAATTCTCCATGTCTAATCATCTCCCCCTTATGCTGCCTTTTCTTTCTCCTAGCATACGTAAGGTTAACTGGGGGCCTATCATAGAGATGGGAACATTATAGGTCGTGGTGTCAGTGCTGGTGGTCAAGGAATGGTCAAAGAATGCAACTATTGTGGTCGGGAAGGACATACCATGAACTACTGTTATGATCTGCATGGCTCTCTATCTACTTGGGCCAATCATGCTGCTGTAGAAGGAGATAGTGGTGTTATAGGTGATGAATCTACTGCTTTAGGAACTGGGAAAGAGAAGGAAATGGTCTCGATCACCTAAGAAGAGTATGAAAAACTTCGCCTGTCCTCCTCCTCCCCCGGTAATACTACAACTCTTGCAAAGTCAGGTAAGTGCTATAGGTGATGAGTCTATTGCTTTTGGAACTGGGAAAGAAAAGGAAATGGTCTTGGTCACTCGAGAAGTGTATGAAAATCTTTGCTTGTC